CTATCCACAGTGATTCCAAGATATCTCTTTTGAATGGTAACAGCTAACTTAGTCCCCATCATTTCATCTAATTGGTCATGGTCATACTTTATCTGATAACCAGATCTTTGCTTTAATACAGGCTCAATCTCTTTGTCACCAAACATGTATCATATTTTAAGAATTACAAAGTTGCCCAATGTCATTGATTCTACGTTAAGTCAATTGGGATTCAAATTATCACTTTTCACATCTCAGTGCCATTTGTTTATAGATTTGTGTGCAGAGCTACATACCAGGTTGATTAGTATATTAGAATAGAAAACAGATGGAACATTATAAAAATTATATCAACTATAGTAACATTGAACAGTATAAAGAATTTCATGAGTGCATAATTGGTACAAAATGTATAAAACAGATTCTCACTTTGGTTTTTGATTATGCTTCCTTTCTTTGTGACTAGATGGAAAGGAGAATCTCATAATATTGTTTTCTGCAAATTGGGTATATGGCATGAAAAAGGTAGATAACCACTGCTGTAGTGAAAGATTTGAAGGACTTCACACCCACTTTCTTGTGATTACAAGACAAATCTTAAAATACATTTTAAAATCTGCTGACTTCAGGAAACTTGTTAAATTATGTTTAGGGTTAATCCTTAAAAGATATCCTAAATGATATCCTTAAAATTATTGGTTTGTTACTTGCATTACTAATGTTGATAAATTGTGTATTGAATTACTTGACCTTATGTTATTTTATGAAATATATTCAAAAGACCAAATGGCTTATATCAGTTAGGCACAGTACAGGATAATGGTTCGATATCAGCGTTAGGCAACCTACGATAGTGTGTGGGCATCATGAGTAGCTCTCTTTCATCTCAGTGGGCCATAAGATTGTCATAACTAAGATGGTTTCCTGGGATAGGTTAGTTTTGCTAACTGCGCTTGTGTACTTAGAATTTGTGGATATGCCGATTGAACAGTAGCAGCACTTTGATTGGATCCAGAGGGCCTGGATCCATGGCTTTCACAGTCAATGTTATGTACAATTAGTATGCACCTCACATGGAATTCCCTTGCTCTGTGCATGTCACTTTAATAATATAGATAGGAAAAACTATGTGGATGGAAATCAGTGGAATCTGGCAACCCTGCAGAGGAGCAACAATAACAAAATGTCTCTTGGGCCACATTGAGAACCCCAGTAGGCAGCATGCAGTCTGCTGGCTGCAGGTTACCCACCACTGTTCTATATACCAGTCTCTGTAAAGGTGTATTATGCACCATTGTTGTATTTACCTTTTGCAGAAGTTCTTCCAAAATTACACATTTCAGCTGGTAATATTATAGCATGATTTTTCTAAGTTACATATTTCTTTACATGTCACTAAAATCCAACCCACTGATTTGTCCCAATTCATTTAACTTATGTTCCTTTCCTTATTTTTTGTTTGGATGCTAGCATTCAGGATTCCTGTGAGAAACTCCCTACTTGTCAATCTGATAAAATAATCCTATGCCCTGATTTTGACAGACATGTTTACTTAACCCAAAGCTTATGTCAGCTAAAGCAAGGGGTTATGGGATACTTAGCATGAGTGAAAAGATGAATCATAAAGCTGATTTAGGCTATTTAACTAAAGGGTGAACCTCTCTGGTCTGGGACTCTGTGGCTTGGCAAGATGCTGCTGGACCAGAGAGCCCATGGACCAGAGAGGAGCAGGGTAATCTGACGGCAGAGAAAACAGTGGCCCTGAATAGGGAGAACCTAGAGGGCTGGTACCTGGGAGCCCGATAGAAGCAGCCTGGCAGGGGCCTTGGACGGAAGTGGATCTGGCAGTGGGCTGGGGAGCCAATGGCAGGGGATTTCCCGTGGTCTGGCAAATTTCCCTCATTCAAGACCAGTCAGGTCGTAAGGGTGCTGACCAGGGGAGGTCCCCAGCCCTCTGCCGGATATTTTAGAGGAGAGGTCTAAAATATAACTACAGGTTGGACCTCCATGGTCTTGCACCCTCGGGACCTGACTGGTCCCAAATGAGGGAATTTTCCAGATTGGGGAGGTCCCCAGCCCTCTGCCGGATCTGCTTCCACCATAGCTGGGTTGCTTTCCACTGGCTCCAACCCCAGGCCCCATGCTAGGCTGCTGCTATCCCCACAGGCTCCTGCCCCAGCTGGGTTCCCAGCTGCCATCCCTCCTGCTGCCTGATTCGACCACCAAAAATACATTGCAGGAAGCCCCCCCCCATCTCCCCCACCCCTTTGCCCTGGTAAACTTCCCAAAATCTAGGGTTTTAAGATTTTGGGGGAAGTTTTATACCAAAGCCTGGTAGATAAGGCTTTGGGGTACACCTGCTGGCCCCCACTTCTGCATTTATCATGCCAGAGTGGGGAAGGAGCCATGACATGGTGGCATAGCTGTGGGATTATGTTGAGAACCCAGGATTTTTAAAAGGACACAGGTTTTTCTTTTGAGTTGCAAGCTTTGCAGTTTTTTTTCTCTTGGTTTTTTTTTTTCTTTTGTTTTCTGGGCTGCTTCAGAGGGGCAGACAGAAGGTTACGCTTAAGCCAGACACAGATCATCCCAGTTTGTTTTTTTTCTCTAGTTTTGGATAGCTAGGGTAGTTAAGGTAGGATGTCCAGCTATAGGACATCATGCCCCTTGAACTCTGCTTTTTTCCCATTAAAGGTCCTCAGGCAAAGCACTGCATTGTCTGTTGTGTAGGGACAATCGAAATTTCTTTCAGAAATGGGTTAGGTTGCTAATCTGACCCTGAAGAGAGGGGGAGGAAGCCCAGCCTCTCTTTCAGGAGCTCCTTTCTCCCCTCCTGACTCATACTTATAAGTGTGTGTCTGTCACGGGCGCCCCATTTGGGCCCCTATCTCTTTATATAACGAGCGGCCAGTAAGATTGGTTGAATGAAAGTCGCCCTGGCGGCGGGGTGGGGGGTCCGGGCCCTCCCTCCCTCCGGACCCCGACCCAGGGCCCTAACACCAGGAGCTGGGGCTCCTGATGGCAGCAGGTGGGGGCTTGCCCCTAAACACGCCTGCTCACGGGTTCCGCAACCCTCCCTGGGTCTGTTCCTACCCCGCCGGCGGGTCTGGCTGAGCGTCCCCTCTCCACACCTACAACGGGTGAGGGATTAGCTCCTCTGGCTCCCTTCTGTCCGTCGCTTCTCTCTTCTCCTTGCCTCCTCCACCCCTTATGCGTTTCTCCTGCTCCCCCTCTGCGCTGCCCTGTCCGTCCTCCCTCTTATCCCTGGCCGGGTCCATTTCACCCCCTCTCGCTTCCGGGTGCCCCGCCCCTCTCGCCGTGGTCATGCCGCTGACATCAGCGGGCGTCCCCGGCACGCGGAGATGACCGCTCTCCCCGTATGCCGGCGCCGTCCGGGCTGAGCCTCCTGCCCTGCTGCCGGAGTCCGCACCACCCGGCGCCAGTGGGTGATGGGGTTGCCCCACCCCGTCACAGTGTCTGTATTACCTCATTTACATTCTCACTCTCTCCTCTATCTCACCCTTGCCTCCATCTAATAGGGGAGGCTTTAGTAGGTCTCCGGCGGGCCAAAAATGGAGTCAGCTAGCCTTAATTACGTGACGGTAGCTTGGTCTCAGCTGATCCCTAATCTGCCTGAGTCAGCACCCTGTCAATTGCTTCTAATTGATCCACTCCTTGGTAAGAAAGGATTTGGCACTTTTTCCCCCATCCTTCTAGGGCTGCCTTTCTCCCACTCTGTTGCAGCCCTCAAACCTGACTTTGACACGTTATGTAGGTGTAGATATAACGTGTCTCATCGTTTTCTTGATATGTCTGTATATTCCCGCATTTACTCCTAGTTTTCTTTTTTTGGTTTCACCTTTTCCTATCTTCCATTTCAATTATTAGTTTGTGCCTTCAACATAAGGACATACCACTATCTGGGTTTTCTGTAAGTGCAATTCTTAGTCCAATACTAATGGATCTCTTGTTGCTCATTTCATATTTCTTCTTCTTTGTTCTACATACGCAAAGCAGTGATAGTGTTTTGAAAATCATACAGCAAGGGTGGAAAACCTTTTTTGGGCTGGAGGCCATTGACCCACAGAAAAATCAGTTGGGGGCCACAAACATGTGAGAAGCAAACAAATTTACAAACCAAAAAAACCCTTACCGTGGACCCTAACTGAGAAGCAAAGAAAAAAAAGACAGTCACGCAACCCTGGGCTCCAGGGTTACCTTCATGCTCCAGCTTCTCATGCAGAGCGCTGAGGCTCTGGGCTTTCCTCCAGGACTCTTCTGTACGTTTGGGGCTAGTAGATTTTTAGTGCCCATTAGACTTTGAGGTGGGGTCAAAAAAACCATGTTTGCTGAGCTGCTGGAGAGTGGTGAGGGCTGGGGGTTGCAGGCGGGGGAGACTGCTTGCCATGTGCAGGTCTATCACTTGCTTAACTTCCAGCTACCAATGAACCTCCCATTTTGGTAGGGTCAAAGGAGTTTTGAGTCACCCATGGTGCAACTTCTTGAAAAATTATACTTTTACTGAAACGTGCTAGTTTTATCATTTAGAGCGGTCATTTGTATTTTAATGAGGCTGAAATAGACAAATTTGATACTTGAAGCTTTGTTTTGAGTGATTATTTTTACCCACTCTTTCATAATGGACACTATTATGAAGTCGAGCCACCGCTTCCTGCAGCTCCCCTTGCAAACAGAAAACTGGAGCCAATGGAGCCATAAGGTTCTGGGGCCATGGCACCAGTAAATAAACACACCAGAGTAGCTAGTTAGCAGCTCTCTCAAAGTGGTTTTGCAGATCTCTTTGAAAAATACTGCTCCACAGCCTTAGAGCTAGCTTCATGCTCATGCAGTAGGGACTCATGCACTAAGCTCCGGAGGTCTTAGGTTTGGTTCTGCCTGTTGGCATTGTGTAACTATTTGTAAAATAAAATATACCACTTTATGGCTAGAGAGTAAGGTAAGTATCATGTTTGCTATTTGCACACACAGCAATTTTCCCTCATTCATTTTTTTTCTTGTAGGATATCTTGAATAACCTTGATTCGTGTGATCTTGAAGATGATGATCTTATGCTTGATGTAGACCTACCTGAAGACACACCTTGTGACAATGGTTAGTGAAGTACTTAAGTCTTGGTTTTGTGTGGGCTAACAATTAATACTCCAGATTACACACACAACTCAACCCAGTGTTCTGTCTCTGTTATGGAATTTGCAGAACAGAATGTGTTTGAATATAAAAATATTACTTCACTCACCTTGTTTCTATCATGAAAGTGTTAGTCATTGTTCCAGTTTAGTCAAGTAAAGTTTTGTACATTAATTAGTTTCAACTACTGTGCTATGTATAAAGAATTCCACAGTAGTATAACACTTATGGAATGAATTTTATGGGAAATTACAAACAAATTAGTTTTGTTTTTTAGTTTTGTTTCTAAAACTAGTTCCTTTGAGAAGATTAGCGACTGGTACCGAACCTTATTTTGTCCTAACTTTCTTAAGAGATTAACAGTAGATTCAAACTTTCCCTTTAGTTTTTTTTTTTTTAAACTTTCTGGAATTTCATGTGTTGGCTACATTTGAAGAAACATTTTAGGATCAGTGATCAGTTTTTGCCAATTTTTTTTTTTTTACAACTGAAAGATTCCCAGTCAGCTGACAGAAAACATTCCATCCTAGAGAATTCCATGAAGCCCTACCATCTTAAACATAGTTGTCATCTTCTGTTGAGAGTCAAGCCATAGAAATCTGAAGTTAAGATTCCATCTTCTATTGTTCCTAATGGAAGTGAAACAAACTTCCTTTGGAAAGACGGTAGCCCCTCTGCTGCCAGAGATGCTGTGAGGGGGTAGAGATAATGCAAATCTAGTCCCTTTCTGCATAGATGCTAGGCTATTGTCTCGTTTTCAGGAATGGATTTTACCAGTGCTTTTTTTGTGACAGTAGGCACTGGTACGGCATACCATCATCTTTTTTTGGGAGCACTCACTGCTTTCCCCCGGCACGGCCCCCAGCCGGCCCTGGGAGCACTCACGCCACGCTGGACAAAAGCCCACTTGAGACATGCAGCAATTAAAGGGGCCGTGACCACGTTTCGGCCCTGGCGCTTTTTTTTTTTCTTCAACACATTGTGCTCGACATCTGGCAACCCTAGTACCGGCATTTTTTTTTACCCCCCCCCAACCGCACCCCAAAAAGAAAAACCCACTGGATTTTATGATTTTTCAATCTTTAAGTCAGGAAACACAGCCATCCTTCTCCACTCACCGCCATATAATACCTTCTCCATTCTTATAAATCCTTCTCCATTCTAATTCCTTATGGCTGGACAAACTTCCAGCTTTTTAAGGATCTCATTAGATAGGCATCTTTAACTTGACCATTAGTATGTTTTAATGTACAGTTTGTCTTGATTAGAGTTTTAGAATGTATTGATTAAGCTAGAGAAGGTGATGTAACATTGCATCCTGAAACTCTGACCATCTTTGGGATGTTGGCATTTACCAAAACCAGCCCTTGAGTGGTGACATGGGCTAGCAGATATACATCCCTATAACGGCCTGCATCCTGCCCACCCTCTCAGTCCTTTCCCACAATTCAGCTTCAATTGTAATGGCCAGTTCCACTTAACATTGCTTTTAAAATAAATAGCAGTGTTGGCTAGACACAACTGCCATGTCCTGTCTTGTGAAAGTAAACATTCTGCAGAGCTCTGTCTCACTGACTCTGACTGTCCTACTCAACTCAGGGAAGGAGAAGCTTCTGTCTTCTTGAGTGCATACCTTGTTGCAGCTGAGAATGTTATGCTTGAAGAAAGATTTTTGAATGTAAAAATCAGTGTTTGTTGGAAATATGTATATTCACTGCAGAGCTAAGTTAACCACAAATGCATGCAGTGGGCAGATCACTTTAAAAATTACTGTGGCTAGACAAAAAGAAAATTTTGTAGCCTCATAATTATCAAATCCACTTTTCCAAGGCCACTAAAATGAAAGATTTTTAACAATGAGAATTATTTCCTGCCAAATTTCAACTTGTAACCCAAGATTTTATTTGCTAGAATTGATTAAAAAAATCCACTGAATTTTTGTCATGAAGGGGAAAGTGTATTCTTCCAGTGCTAGGTCATCTGTAACAGATGATGGAGTGGATGGACCTTTGCTTGCTGCTTCCTAATACTGGCTCATACAGATGGACCTGATTCAATCTCTGCCAGAAGTTTTAATGCTATAAGGGGGCCTCAGTGTCTACAACAGATCACTCTCAGACCATTATGAGCAATTGTCTTAAGTTTTTTAAGGCACATGATAGTGTGAACGTGTCGTTTCTCATGTACTTCTTACAAGCATGTTTCTTTTTTACTCCATTGCCCTTAGTCATGACCTATATAAATATCAGTACAGGTCCTGGACTGGATGCTGTCATTTCTGACCTGCTGT